TTGCATTTTTCTCAACATGCCACATTGTCACAAACTACAACAACAACAACTCACTCACTTCTCTGCGAATTGCGAAATATTTCCAAATTTCGATGTTTTGCTTCACAATCAATATTCGTCCTTTTTAGTTTTTGTTTATAATATCACGGAATTTGTCCACAAAATGTAATTCAATGAGTTTTTAGCGAGGAATAAAATCCCGAAAAATAAATTGCTTAAAATGATGAAATTAGATGTGTGCAAAAATGGCGGAGTCAAAAGAGAGTATGAGAGAGAAAAACCTTTGTTTGCGTGGTTGTGAAATAGCTGGCACATAGTACAGCGACACACTTTGACACTAAACTCTCATTTCGAAATGTTATGTGAAGTGTTCAGTTTCGAATCGTGCATTCGTAAAGTACTTTTCGAAATTGACGACGTAAGGGCGGGGAGGTTTGAAGAAAGAACACTTTAAAGGATTAAATCAAGCAAGTGCGAATGAATGAAGAACCTAAAAAACAAATGGAAAACGTTTCAATCAAAATGTAATAAAAACGAATCAAAAATGCACAAAATAATGACTCGTTCTGTGGAATATTTCATAATAATCCAATAATAGAATTAAATTGTCATTTGGAAAATCAAGAACAAATTAGATGTTTCACCTGATTGAATTGATTGCTGCATGATGAATCACGCGATACCTGAAACCACTTTCTATCTCTCATTGCAGCGACTAGTTAATTTGTTGTAAATAAATCAAACATGTGTTTTAAGATTGCTGAGCTTCTCAGCATTTCGTAAGGCGCGGATATATCCGAGCATATCGACGATGCATACAGTGGCGTGCGTTGCTACGTGCAGCCACATCAACTGAACACACTTCGGTCGAGTCGTTGCGGCTGCACGTAGCAACATACGCCACTGTATTATACAGTATGCGTCGTCGATATTCTCGGATATATCCGTGCCTTACGAAATGCTGAGATGCTCAGCAATCTTAAAATACATGTTTGAAATAAATTCAATAATTTCAATTTGAAAGAAAAAAAAGAATTGGCCCATGGGAGGATCGAACTCACGACCTTCGCGTTATTAGCACGAAAATGCAATTTGAACTTCAATTGTGTGGAAAACTCTTAACAACAGACATGACAAATGTTGAAAAAGTGAATGGAAGTAGATCTGATTGGAAATTCAATTTGCTTCCATTGATTTTTCATATTTTAAACTGAACATCGAAAATATGCCACCGCTCAAACTAATGAAAAAGTGAACAGCCTAAAAATAA